ACTGTTTTACGTTGATGTATGACATTTTTCTTGAGAAAAATGAATTCACTCGAGTTTGAAAATAGCCCCGCAGTTATAAAGTTGAGGCTATACCAAGGCTTTCCCTCATTACTTACATATCCTTTATGCTTACGCATATTTTGATTATGTATAATTCTTAAAAAATTAAATAATCGAACACAAAGCAACCTAATAACTGAAATGATAAGCATATCAGTAAACTCCTAAATACGGAAGTGCGTATTTGAATTTCTCTTCGGTGCTTCGGTACTAATTTAGCGCCATCTATTAACGAAACTCCGAATAAATATGTGGCTACTATTTTACAGTTTTAGGAAGTTTTCTTTTATATGCAAGATAATTGTTACACGTAAATGGCTGTTTATAATTTATTAAAAAATATACTTTAATGAGCTTTTAAGGAAATTGACGCAATTGTTTTAAATCTTTCAAAAGGCATTGGTTACTTTAATATATAACCATATTTTGGGAATTATTTTTAAACGATTTTTTACAGTTAGAGACACCAAAAACCTTTATTGACCAGTAGTATATATCTATTATTGGCAGGAATTTTTTCAGTTTTCTCCTTGTTGTAGTTTCGACTAAACAGTCACTAAAAGAACGTTGTGAATGCCTATGTTAAATACATTGCCCACGCTCGACCTTAAAATGTCTTTTTACACTAGGGTGTTCCTAGATACAGCATTTTGCAGTATTGTACTGCATTTTCTAAGACTGTCCAGCATTTTCAAAGTCTGTCCAGCATTTGATGAGTCTTAATGCGAATTTTGAAGCTTACAAAGATTTTATAAAGATCGTACATTCCTATATTTTTTCCATAAATTAATAGTAATATGTTTAGAAAAAATATTTCCAATATGGCGGCCATTTTAACAGTTGACAGAAAATTCTCAATACACGATTATTATACAAAAATGTCCCAGAAATTTAAATTTACAATAAAAAGAAGGTTTCTATTTAAAAATAAAAATATTTTCGTTATTTCCGGAATAACCGGAAGTAAGCCATGATGTCACAGAATAATTAAATCCATCATAAGAAAGTATTTGTTCCAGTCTTTCAAACAGAACAAAATTATTCAGATATCTCACTGAATAGTGAAGATAAGGGGAGTGGAACTTTAGTAGTAACCCTAACAATGTCACTGACCTATTTGACAGAACTGATACTTAAGTTGTCATAACAAGTCTCTAATAAATAAAATAACCAAACAAAAAAGACAAAAATTTAAATTAAAAAAAAAAAACGAGAAACTTAAAGCACATTTTTAAGAAACAAAGAGAAGGTGTGATATAAAAGAAAAATATAAACATAATAATATAAAAATGAAAAATTAATAAAAAACAAAAACATAAAAAACTCACTCAAACATGTCAATAAACACAAAAACAATGGAAAATGCAAATTTTAAATTTCTTTTTTCTCTACTAAAAACACCGATAACAGAAAACATAATTTATTTTTCAGTCAGCCTACTTTTATTCATTATTCGCTCCGTGCGTGACAGCAGCGTCAACTATTTTATGAACTGACGGACAATATTTGCGTATACTGACAATACAATTTTTAATAGAGTTCGTAATTAAGAAATATTTATGTTAATTTTAATAAAAGTACATGGATTTGTAAAACAAGTGAAAAAATCTGATGTGTCCAACACATGACTTTCCTATCTAGTTTTTATAGGCTTTTCCGGTTATTTTGTACAACCTATTGCAGTCCTCTATAAATGTTTAGAGGATAAACTAAATATATACATTTTTCACATATTCCACATTTTCCAAAAATTCTTCTATAGATATTCATTGAAAATGAAAATACTGAAAAATTTAAATTTTGCACTTTTCCTCCAATTTTTCCATTACGGTCCATTATGGAAAAAATCATATAAAAACAAAAATTATAGAGATCGATATCGCAAACAACTTTTAGTTAAATAATTTTCTTAAAAATCAGAATTTTGCACATTTTGTCAAATTTCTCGAATACGGACCATTTCAGGAAAATTTGACATGAAATAAAAATTATAGATAATAATATAAGAAGTAACTTTTATTTGTACAATTTTCTTCTCCAAACATAAATAACAGATATATTCCATAAAATATAAAAATGATCACCTATAAAGTACCTCCCAGATGTTCAGACTCTGCTAAAAATCTAATCAGTTCACCGCAGGTCGGAATAAAGCTTAATTTTAAAATTTGGTGTTTTTCTTTGTATCGGTTCATGAGTTATGGTGGATACAGACACACACACAGACACACACACATACATCATCCCAAAAATAGTCAAAACGGATTCAGGGGACCCCAAAACGTAAAAATTCGTCGAAAACTGGTTGAAAAAATCATGATGCCTATACTTCCTTATATGTATACAGATAGGAAAGTAAAAATTATTATTGTTATTATATATTTTTATTATTTCAGCCGAAAAAAGTCAATAAAAATCAATAATAATACGAGAAAACATACGAGAAAATGTATGAGATCTTGCCTGAGCCTAACAAATTGTCATTGAAGAATATGTTAAATAATTTCAAAATAAAAATATTACCATTATATAATAATATAGAATTAAAACGTAATAACAAAAATAATTGGTATATTTTCGACTGTCATTTATATTTTCATTTTTAGTTCGAAAAAACTCATAGAAGATAATGAATTTAACTGGTTTCCTATCAATAAGTCACAAGATTGCATTTCAGCCATATACAATAATCAAAGGCAGAAATCTAATCATTTGCTAACCATTTAAGATTTAAAGGATGTTAAAGAATATCATAAAAAATAATTTATTGTTTAAATTACAAAATAAAGTTTTTTTTTGTTCTTATTATACAGCTGTCCATTTATTTCTTTGATTTAATTTCGATTTTGCTATTGAAAATTTATATAATTTACAATTTTTTTGCTAGCATAATTTGGCAACTCCGGTTGCTCACTTTATTGTTTTTACCTATATTTTTAGTAAAAAGTAAAATGTATACGTGTATTTGATTAGCCAAAATTTCAAAATATCGCCCTAAAATACTCGAATTATCCGCAGCTTGGGCTAGCGCTTTTGCTTTCCCTACCATGATTTCGCACATTTCGAATAAACCGCAGCCATGTTTTAACATGCCTTAGCGTTCCAAACGTGTCGATTAACTCTGTCGTTGGTGGAAGAGCCATAAACATTTTCTAAACTACTTTGTATGTCTAGATAAAATTCACAATGTTTGGACTCTATATCATTAATGGAATGCAGAAAGTTCTTTCGTACTCCAGTTTAGTATTTAGCTTCAAAATTTTTTCACTACTTTAATTTTCTAAACGGTAGTAAAAAAAGTATTTTTTGTTTTTTGGGATGCAACAGGCTTAAGGAAAAACTAACAAAGTCTTCGGAAAAGCGTGATGTAAGCGACGTAATAAGGGAATATCTTACGCGTTGTTGATAAAGTCGTAAAAGCCAGGGGGCAACTGCCCCCCCCCTTCTTAAACGACGCCCATGGGTACAGTCCAGCGAAATGCTGTATTTGTCCAGGAAAACGCCACTATTGTCCAGCAATGTAATACATAATTTACTGAAACGCAACAAATGGACATGTTATTTATCTTTAGGTGGATGTGATCATTTTTACTGCCGTCCTAGCAAGAAAGGTTCTATCTGCAAAATTAGCAGTTTTATCTCAACATTTGTCTACATTTTATCTTCCTTGAAGTTTACCAACAATTTTGTATTCGTGTTTAGCGTCAAGTATTAGGTCAAAATAAATATGGTCACCTTATATTACCAAAAATTGTTTTGTAAATCTCTTTTATAAGTATTTTTTAATCTAAAACAACAGACAATGAATTAGAAAATAATTTTCTATTTTACTGGAAAAAACTTATTAAACCTATTCAAACGCATAAATAGTTTACAAATTCTTGAAAATCCTAATTTTATACACCATTTTAAACTAGAAAAAGTGACAAGTGACAATTTTTTTGTTACATTTTGTTACGACTTATGACATAAATGAATGGATACGTTCAAAAACAATGTGATGTTTACAGTTCTTCTAGTGGATAATTTTTTAGCAAATTAATTTATTACTTTATGTTAAAATAACAGGTAGATTAAATAGGTTAGTAACAAATAGAAGTTTTGCGAGGTTTTGATTTCCCTCAACAATTTCTCATGAACGTTGCATTTACGTTGTATAGTAATATTCCCTTAAAACAATATCTCCGAAAGGCTTGGCAACGTTATGTGCTAGCTGGGAACTAACCTATATTATTTTCTCTTTCTGCTCTTTTAATTGGGTCAGGTTTGAGTTTTATTCCTCTTAATTTAATAGCATTATAAACTAAATGAATGGACTGTTCTTGTTTCAAAACTTGAATGATACTAAATTTGATTAAAAACAGAGATTGTTTAAATCTACATTCTCGTTGTGTTAGAAATGCAGTTTATTATTTTAAGTAGGTACCCAAAATTTACATCAAATATTTAATCTATATTATCATTGTGATAGAAAAACAGTTTATCATTTATTGTAGGTAGGTACTTAAAATTAAACAAAAAAAAACATTCCAGATCAATTTGATTACTACATTTTTCGCATCAAATATTTAATCTACATTATCGTTGTGATAAAAAAACAGTTTATCATTTATTGTAGGTACTTAAAATTAAACAAAAAAAAAAAAACAACACTTCAGATCAATTTGATCTACATTTTTCGAATTATTTGTATTTATCTTGCAATTTTACAAGTTGTTAGGTAAGTATTTAGAAGGCATTGGTGAATAAAATTTGAAAAGTTTATAAACAGAAAAAAACTTGCTATGTATGGTATTATTATTTATTTTAAAAATGTTTTAAATCAACACGTTTTGGGTTTGTTTAAATTTTATCATTCTTATATTTTTAATTACATGCACTTGGCTTAGTGCCGGTAAGTAAACCACAGACTGTCGATACCAAATCTTCTCTAGCAGATTGTTCTAAGTCTTCATCGAAAATATCATTAAATCTAATATGGGGGACATACGGAAGTGGAGGATCTATCTTGTTCTGTTTGTCTACATAAGACAAAAGCAGGGCATCACCACTGTCAGTTACACATTTATTAATATCATCCCATGATAACTTATTTTCTTGAGCACACTAAAAAGAATTAATTTATTATAATTATACAATGATAAAAAGATCAATTATGTTATATATTACATGCGGTTGATTATAATATGGGCTCGGTTGATATAGCTATTAAACGCAATCATATTATATAATGTTTCATTTACAACTCTTCACCTAATACCTTCACTCTACACTATGTTAACTAAATAGAGCATACTTGCTGTCTCATAACCAGTAAAGGTGTAACCGTTCGTCCAATTACACCAAGCAGATATGTGAGATGAATGCTACTCTATTTCTAAATATAATTGAGCGTTTTAACTTTATTCTTCTGGGTGAGTTTAGTTAACAAATTGTATAGTGACGGCAATGTATTGTATAATATGTTGCTATGTTTAGGACATGGATTATGAGTTTATTATTCATGGATGTAGTGTCACCAATTTTATTTAAGGGTTACCAGATATATTGTTATTCGATGAGTTAATTTTTAATATTTAAGAGTTCTTATATAAAAATTCTACAAAGTAAAATTTTCTTCTCAAACAACAAGCGCGGCAGGTTTTCGTCTGATGAGCAAAAGAATGCTAGTTATGGGGGTTGGATGTCTAAAATAGCAGAAAAAGTTTATAGTTATTTATTATACAAGGAAAAAAGTATTAGATTTTAGCTCGAGATTGTGTTGTCTCCCGATGCGAAGCGAAGGTAGACAAAAAAACCCAGAGCTGAAATCTAATAGTTTTCCCGTGTATAATAAACTATTTTTAACGGGGAAAAACGACGATTTAATATTGAAAAAAATATTCTAAACTATCTACCTTTACTTATGTGTATATACCGGGTGTTCTAAATTAAAGCGTTACAGCTATATACCGCTTTTTATAAAAAAAAACGTTTCAGACGAAAGTTTTATAGTTTTGTAGGGAAAAACTTTTGGCTAAAATCGTTTTTTATAGCTAACCATAATATGGGCAACTTTTTTTTCGCGCAGCAACATTTTCAAGTAGCTGTTACTCAAAAAGTAAAAGTCCAATAAAAAAATATTTTCCTCAAAAGTTTCTTATTTTTTTATGTACTTTAAGAATATGTAAGAAAAAATGGGATTCCCATTTAAAAAAACAAAGTTCACCTCGATATGGCCATATTATGGTCAGCTATAAAAAAATGAATTTAGCCAAAATGTTTCCCCCAAAAAACTATAAAACTTTTGTCTGAAACTTTTTTTCTAAAATGCATATTTTCGGCGGTATTTAACTGTAACACTTTAATTTGAACACCCGGTATAGCCGGGAAAAAAGTACTCACTTTTTTCCCAGCAAACACTTTTTTCCCGGGAAAAAAGTGACATTTTGTTACCTGACAAAAGATAAAATGTAAACTTTTTTACATTTTACTGGTTGAAATCTTTTTTTATACAGGGTGGTCACTTTTTTAATGGGATTGTATTAGTAATTTCCAAACCATACTAGTTAGAAAGTCGGTTAAATGGAGAAAAAGTTGCGTATCTCGAAGCATAATCTAGCGGTGGAAATTAATTGAAAATAGCAGGCCCGGTTCTCGAGATATTTCGATAAAAGGAAATTCGACCTTTTCGGTTTTTTGGTTATCGTTCATTTATTTTCAGAACTACTAAAAAATATTTTAAAGGTTTTTATTCGATAGTAAATTTTCTTTGATTTGACATTTTCATATTTCACATCCAACGTTTCGTATTCTCCGGACCACCCTCAACTTATTTTTTTTAAATATGGACCTGGATATTTTATAAAATTATTTGAAATAACTTTTCATCCTGCATCCAGTGGTGTATTACATAATGGCATTCAATGACGGTTTTTGGGTAATATTGACCGTGATCCAAATTTTATTGGTACGGATCTGTATTGAATTTATAATCAGTGTTAATTTTTGAAAAGTGTATAATACTTCGAATATAAAGTGATTAATTAGGAAAAAATAAATGAGAATCAATAATTATTCAATTATTCGACTATTAAAAAATATGTTTTGGTAAGATAAATAATTAAAAAATATTCCCGATTCCATTTTTGACAATACATACCTATCAAATTCAGGTTCATTATTCAGTATTGTTTCCATCTTTGCATTTGCTCACTTTTTCCTCCTATTAAATTTCCCTCCTTATCTTATCTTATCTTTATAGAAATTATTAATTTAATTTTTTTGTAATTTTCTTGTATTTCTGCGACTTTTTTTTCTTGGTGTTGCCTTTTCTTATTTTTGCACATTTTTTTAACAGCCTTTCTCTGTTCTATATATTTTTCCGTCTGCATCGTTCCCTGTTTGTAGGTATTTTTCTCTCAGTTTGTTTTTTTTTTTTTAATTTCTTCATCACATTCGTTATCTAACCATACCTTTTTTTTCTGCATTTTTTTTTTTATTAATATTTTTATCAGTTGATGTTTTTATGGCATTCTCTATGTTATTCCGTTTCTTTTCTGCTATGTTGGCCATGTTTAAAACTGGTGGTCTAGACTTCTTTCTATGTCTGTCCTATATCTCATTGATACCTCATTTACTTGTTATTCTTCCATGTTATATTTTGTGTTTATATTTCTATAGATGTTTTGTTTTGTTGATATCCCGACAGAATGCAACCAAATATAAAAATTTTTCGGCGTTTGTTTACAACTCTTCTCGAACATAACACATTCGATAAACCTAGAGTTCCGTATGTTCGAAGAAAGGAGTCAGACAACGATATTAATGTCTCAGCTCAAATTCGAATAAATCCAGGAGTTGGGTCGAGGACTATTGCAGGTGAATGTAATTTATCAAAAAATGCTGTTAATAAGATAGTCAAGAGACACGGATACCATGATTACAAATACCAAGCGGTACAAAAACTATATCGTAATGATCCTGAAAGAAGATTGCGATTTTGTAATTGGGTTAAACAGAAGGTAAGAGTTAATAACAACTTTGCACACAATATCATTTGGGGAGACGAAACATTTGCGAATTCTGGTATATTCAATCGAAGAAATAAACATTTTTATGCCACGGAAAATCCTCACCTAATCCAAGAAAGGTACAGTTTGTTAAATGATAAATTACTGCGACCATACTTTATTGACGGAAACCTTACTGCAGAAAAATGTTTAGGTATACTACAGGACATGTTAGACGATCTTCCTATAGAGTATCGTCTTAACAAAATCTGATTCCAACAAGATGGATGTGGTCCATACAATTCAAGAATGGTCACGGATTATTTGAATTAGACTTTTCGCAATTCATGGATTGGAACAAGAGGTTCAGTGGCGTGGTCTGCCAGATCTTCAGATCTGAATCCATTCTATTTTTATTTGTGGGGACGTCTCAAAAATAAAGTGTATGATACACCGAATGCAACAATTGTGAGATTCTCCGCGAAATGATTGAAGATGTATTGGAAGATATCCAAGAAGAAGAAATAAACAATAGCATAAGAAATATGAATATCAGAATCGCCAAGTGTCTTGAAAAATATGGCGGACATTTTGAACAACTACTCAATTAATTTTATTGATATTTTCAAATAATTTGATTATGACTTACAAAAACTGAATTTCTTTTTGTTATTATCAGTAATTGCGTTTAAAAATTTCTACATTACTATTGTTGTTGATGATGAATTGTTTAATTTTCGAAAAATTACATAAATTTTGTAAGAATTGATTTTATTTTTTTATCGAGGGGCATGACATGTTGATTCAACTAAAGACGGCTGAAACCAAGCGTAAATTTAATAAAATTTGGATTACGGTCCATATTACCCAAAAATCGTCATTGAATGCCATTGTGTAATACACCGCTGGATGCAGGACGAAAAGTTATTTCAAATAATGTTATAAAATATCCAGGTCCATTTTTAAAAAAAAATAAGTTGAGGGTGGTCTGAAGAATACGAAACGTTGGATGCAAAATATGAAAACGTCAAATTAAAGAAAATTTACTATCAAATAAAAAACCTTTAAAATATTTTTTGGTAGTTCTGAAAATAAATGAACGATAACCAAGAAACCGAAAAGATCGAATTTCCTTTTATCGAAATATCTCAAGAGCCAGGCCTGCTATTTTCGATTAATTTCCACCGCTAGATTATGCTTCGAGATAGGCAACTTTTTCTCTATTTAACCGACTTTCTAACTAGTATGGTTAGGAAATTACAAATACAGTCCGATTAAAAAAGTGGCCACCCTGTATATGTACATATATAAATATTGACTTCACAATAATTCAGACATAACTATTTTCATGAAATTTAAAAACATAGCTGCCTGAGTTCTTTTAAATAATCTAAGCAATTTCAAACATTAGCTCTTGATATACATTAATTGAATTTGTCTGAATTAAGACAAATCCTTACGATCAAAGTTCAATATCAAAGTTCAATATTACAAGTACTTTCCGATATGTACAAAAAATTACAATAAAAGTTATCCCAAGACAAATCATATTCTAATAAAACTGCCCTTTAATAAAGTCTCCCAGTTGGTATTGTTCATGGATGATTTCAGAGTAACAGGTACATAAAATGTTACGCCATCAATTACTATAAATTATCCAAAAAGTATTTGTATTGAATAAATATAACATAAAAAAGTAACCTGTTGTTTTAAAATTCATTCCAAATGAAAGTTGTAAATTATACTAGCAAATCATTACACCCCCCCCCCCCCCCCAAGGACATTTAACCACTGTGCTACTTTAGGAACAGCACTGTTAATTAGATCCCGACAGTGAGGTCATTTTTAAATAATAAACTAGAAAAAATCATGGTCCCTGGAGGGATTCGAATCCCAGACCCTTGGATTCGGAAGTCTAGAACCTAATCACTAAGCCTCTCATCAGCCATCCCCTAAACATAAACTTAAAAAGTCACATAAAACATGACAGCGATAATTCTGTTTTTCCTGAAAGTTTTCCAGAAAATAACATATTTAAATATTTCTTGACTACATCGTTAAAGGTAAAGACTTTCTTACCCTTAACATCGCACAAGAAACATGTATCCATGATTGAGAGGTAAAAACTATTAAACATATGAATCAATTGAAGATTTATTTGTATACTTATTGTTGTGATTCGTTTTTACAGTTTGTCATAGAAACGACAAAAAAACTACAAACTACTATTATTATTGTCTAAAGGAATTGTCTAACAAGAGTCCATAATTATTATTGACTATGGGTGAGATTACAGAACGTCTGCAACTTTGCAGATCTGCAAATATGGCGGCAACTTTGAAAATCTGCAAATATGACTGACTTACACATGCAAGTATCAAGTTTTCGTATTCCAAATTTGGGTTTAGTGTTGTTGGGAGTAATAAACCACAATAAATATTGCGAATTTGCAGATATTTTTTGGAATACTTGCATTTGTAAGTCCGCCATATTTGCAGATTTGCAAAGTTGCAGATCTGCAAAGTTGCAGACGTTCTGTAATCTCACCCTATCTCTGCAAATAGTTCATCCAATGCCTAGAGCTTCAGTACGAGTGGGCTTTGAACCACATCCTAATTCAGACAGATCCAATGCCATACTTCTTACTTTCACTCGCACATATAGTTTAAAATGTAGATAAAAATAATGATAATTCAGGTTTAAAAGGTATGTTTGCAATGAATTGTAATTTTCAGGACAAACAAAACTAACGCTGTCATGTCTTATGTGATTTTTCAAAAAATATATTTTTTTAACTACTTTGCACAGGATAGTGATTGCCACAGGTACCATTTGATAAAGTACAATATTGTAACATGCCTTTGGAGGATATTTCATTTCGTTATCAGATGATGGCCGAAATTTGCAGTGGGCTCTCCTATAGTCTGAATAAAAGAGGAGTACAGTAAAAGAGGATATATTACGTCACATCTCATAGGCTTACTTTGCAAAATAAGTTGCTAATATAAATAATGCCACGGCATATAAAATAGTATATATGCACTTTGTAGATTAAATTTTGAATGAATAAAGTTATATTATTTACAAAAATTGAAAATAAACCTTATACTTTTTACAAAATTGTTGCACTTTAACATCAAACGAATTAAATTTAACCAATAAATTACAAGGAGGATTAAATGCTGTTAATGGAATTAAACTTTTTTTAAACTCTTGGCATTAAAAGTAACACTTCGGTAACTAAAATCAAAGATTCACTATAACTACTGGTATCATTATCATTGTATTTCCTAAGATTTATTATTATAGGGTTTATTAAGTTTTACATTGCTATATCCACTTTCCAAAATGAATTTTCCAGCTTTTTAACATGATCAATGGATTTTCTCCAATGTTCTCCATTTACATCTGAAACTGCCTTCAAAAACAAATTTCGCACATTGGGTATCAACAGAAATTAAAAATTCACATCTGAATCTTTGTAACGTAATTATTTAAAACTTTAATAACTTTATACGGTCAAAAACTTATAGCTAACTTATTTAATTCTAAATAAATTAAACTTAATTTTAAAAGTTCATTATATTGTTTAGTTTTTGCAACTTTAATGCGCTTAAGTACCGTTCAGATTAAAATATGAATTGCTTTATGGAGCTTAACTGAAAAACAGGAACTAATGCTTTTATTCCAAAGAAAAAATATTATGATCAATAAAAAGAATCCCGAACTCTGATTTCTTCAAGTCCTTATTTAAAACCTGTAAATATTAATATTGTCATTATATAAGAGTTTACAAATTGTTACATATACCGAACATAAGTTTGTTGACATAAACATTATTTTCATAATACAAATAAATATATTTTTTTTATTTAATATATTCATTTAAACATGTTTTTGTTTTTTGTCTATATGATTTTAAATACTAATTTTTTCTATATAACTTCTTATACCCGACATTCTGAGAAAAAAACTTATTACCTATCACTTTATTCTTTCAATTCATTTGTTGTTTTTGCCCAAATGAATAAATTATTACAAAATATAAAATGGCAGAAGACCGTTAATTGTCCGTTTACATTGATCTCATGTATTTGTTACTTTGGCTTTTTGAATCGAGGACATCGGTGGTACAAGAGCGAATGTATTGCTAAACTATGGACGCTTTTCTACTCTCAGATAATTAATTATTGTAAAATTATTATTATTATTTTGTGCTATTGTGGAATATTTTTCGATTCCTTTGTCTCAACTTCGCGCGTTAGAGTTTAGAATATGTATTCCTCGTATCTACATGCAGTTGTTAAAATTATTAATGAATGCTGATTTTGTCTAGTCTCGGTAGTAATTTTGTAGTATTTAGGCTCTACCCTTAAGTTGTAATTTTTATACCTACTAAACTACTGTTACCCCCGCAGGTCTTTTAGTTTGTAATGTAAATTTTCCTCTTAAGTACGATATTTTTTTCTTCTAAAAATAATGCTGTCCACTAGGTCATTTAAGCGTAATTGTGCTTGAACCGTTTTCTAATGCACTCGCCATTCTCAAATAACTGTAAAATTATAATATATACTAATACATACGATACGGCTATGAATAAATATAGTATGACTTATCTGTCAAAATAAGAGGTTTATTATAGTAAAAACCATGAAAACATGACTAAATCTAAACAAAAAACTTTTATTAGGCTGATCAGATTTATTAAAATTTTCATTTTAGGTACAAATTATCATTGAAAGATTAGGTATAAATAAAATGTCTACCTCTTGAATCCGTATTACGTTCTGAAAATTAAATTACTGCACTCCTTTCTTCTTTAGACTACAGTAATAGTTAAAATTAGCGTATTGATCGTGATATTTTTGAGAAGATAATACTGTACTAAATCGAAAACTCATTTTACTTGTTTAACTGTAGCTTCAGTTTCGTCGTGAGTTTTATTCGTATTTATATTAATAATATTGGACGCTCTTGAGGAGATCTTACTGTACTAAAACCGAATTTACCTGTTTAACTACGTCTTTAGTCTCATCGACGGTTAATTCCATACTTGTGCTGTTTGCATTACAATTAATAAAACCTAATAATTGTAACTGAGGAGGTTTTAGACTGATAAGGCAAGCATCAACTTTGTTAAGGAAGCACTCATCAGGTCCATGTTGACATTCCCATCCATCATCAGTCTTAACTTCCCACTAAAAAAAAACGGAAAAGAATACCAACTGAAGTTTTTTAAATATAATTTTAAAGAGTTTAAAGCCAAATCTTGATAAAGGTAGGTGTTTTTTTTTTTAAATATCTTCTAGATTTAAATAGTTGATTAATAAATTATACCAATATATTCGAAATCATAAATTATTTTTAAATATATACCTGTACATGTTTACAGATATAAACGTCAACGTTAATTCAGAGAAAATGTAGAGTTGGGCGATATCGTGATTTTTTAAATACAAAGTGAACCGTTACTGTGATTTATGGAGTGTAGACCCAGAATAGCAACCACAGAGAAGCGACAATAATTGCTGGTCCTTTGAAGTCCGAAAAATAAAATGTGACCTTGAATTTGACTTATGAGACGGGTAGCCGGTATAATACAACGAGAAAAAAATTAATGGAGCATAATAAATGCTATACACTGAGAATAAATATTATATTGAGATTGAATAAGTAATTTATGCAACAAGTGCATAAACTGGTAATTTTTCACTAATGGAAAAAATGACCGCACTAGCCGTAAGGCGAGTGTGGCAATTCCATGAGTGAAGAAAAGACACTTTATGCATATGCTGTACACAATATTTTTTCTACAGTCCTATACAAATAATAAAATCAAAATAGTAATTTGGAAACTCCTTCAGAAATGCTATTAGTTTAGAATATTTAAAATGTTATCATTAATAATTAAGGTTGCTTTTAGTTTAGAATAGCTGGACCATAATATGAAAAACTTGAATTTTTTACACCTTTCTTAAAAGAAAAAAACTAATAGCACCTGCTCTAAAAGCTATAAATATTATACTGGTTCCGCCATTAAATAAAAGTGTCATATTCATTTAAATAAGTTTCTTTGGAATTCTCCGGCAGCAAATTTAGTGTGGCCACATTTCTCTTTTCTATAATTTGGGAGTACATATTTCAAACTCGGAATCTTCACCATTAATTGCCGCGTTTGAATATCCACATCCGATGCATTTCATACATCTCCAGCGTTTGTTTATCCACATCGGACACATCTACTACATCTACATCTGCATTTGTTTATCCGAGATGTATCTGTCCAGTTTACATTTTTTACATCTCGATTTGAAATGAGATGTTCGTTCCATGCCAGAAAGAAAGTGTTCTGTGAAGCCAAGTTTGTCAATTTATCCTTTGTTTATGCTAGCATGAATGTAAAAGTAATTAGTTTGTTTATTTTTGTTTCGATTTCAAATTTAGGTTGACTTTTAGTCTCAAAAGTCAAATTTAAAAAGTATAAACTTCTAACTTGTCATTGTCAATTTATCACGCGACCCATAAAATCTAGAGCGTTTGTTTATTACATTACATTACACAGATCTAATTCTCTATCACGTGATGAAAAATTCACAACATCTTAGATGCAACCGATATGGATATTCAAACGCTGCACTTAATAATAATAGGAACAACTACTACATTAAAATAAATCGAATTATTAATAATATAAACAAACCTGTTAACGTCAAATCAGTTACAGTTTATGCCAAAGTCAAAGGTGACCTAATATTTTTTTTCCGGTAAAGGTGTGGAACACTTGCACATATAGACCGTCAGATAGTGACCGATTTAGGTGCCCCATTTTCGCATACAAGCCTCGAAGAGGGTTGAAAAGTACATCGATGTTAAGTGGAATAAAAGAAAATTTACGAGTGGCTCTTGGGGATAACAAATGTTAAAAAATTCGAATTTCCTTAACAGAAAAATTTTCCGACCATAAAATGCACTTTTACATTTAGGTCATTCAAGAAAATATGTTTTGGACTATTGACGACGTACGTTTTCATACATTCGATTGGCTTGTGTGGAAAAATCGGGCAAAATCTCGTTTTTTCCTTAGAAATGTCCTTATTTTAACCCTTTACCCACTTACAACGTTAAAGCTTTTGATTTTCCGAAGCCTAGTACTATTAATTAATTATATGGTGAAAACGGCTTGTATTGAAAATTGGGCAACAAATAACCTTTCGTTTTTGTTTTGGAAAATTGAATTTTCCAAGTGTTTTCCCCAGCAGCCACTCGTAAATTTCCTTTCATACTACTTAAAATCGATGTAGGGACTTTTCAACCCCCTTCGAGGCTTGTTTACGAAAATGAGGCACCTAAACATGTCACTATCTGACGGACTATTATCAACTGGAAAACGTGAAATAAAGTTAACGTTTTGGGACTTTTTTAACGCTTTTTTACTTTTTTTCACTTTAACCATAAACAGTCGTTTTAAGCGCTGCAAATCGGTAAAATACAAGCTACTTTACTTTACAAGTGTTTAAAATTACTCTATTTTAATGAATGTGAATGTTGTCGCACGAGCCTTAGGCTTTCGATTACACCTAGCTAGAAGAAATTGCAAGAAACTTGCTAGGGCTGTGGGTTTTTTTAAAATACAAGTGCAACGTAAACAAACATAATAAACAAAAAATACAATATTACACCTAAATAAAAACTATTAAAAAAACTGTAGGCACAACTTCTTTTTTCCTTTGTGCTGGAAAGTAATCTTGGTTCATTTTTCTATTTGAGTTCGACGACTTTTTTTTTTCAACTTTGGCGCATCCCTGACAATGCCATTCGCAAAACTGATTTATTGCTGCGTGTAATAATGAATTATGTCGTCTGATTTATAGATGGATAAGTAATCTCTATGACTATATATCATTGGATTTTTCCCTTCTAGTACACGAGCGCCATATTAATTTTATAAA